TTTCCCTGCTACCTGATAATATCAAACACAGCCAAAACAGTTTCTCATCTCTAAGCTACCTGATGCACCTAGTAGCATTTAAATAGGAGTTATTTTTTATCCATGCATGGATTTTGTACACCCTATTATTGCAAGAACAGTGCATTACTCCTTCAGCAATGCCAGCAGAGGAGAGTGATAGAGTGTTCTGAGAGGTGCTATTACAAATGTGTGACAATCTTCTTTCTAATCAGCCATGGTTGTCTATTTTATTTCATTGCTGCTATGTCAGCACTGCAGATGGTTAGTAGAAATTGTCACTGTTCCAAAGAATTTAAAAACATAATTTATGCTAAATATAATATTTGGATAAACTTGTAAAACTTGTGCCATATTCAAAGTTGAATCTAATAATTGGGCACATCCTGCCTTTGATCACTTTTACAGTGAGGATGCTGTAAAAATTACATTTGTGTGACATCAATACATTGAGCATCTCTCAGTATGGCTTCTAGTGAAATTATGATTTTATTCTGATGCTGTTTTGATTTCTTCCTACAGTCTGAAGAATTAGATCTTGGTGATTTCATTTTAGTGAAGTTATTCTGACTAATTTTATATCCTCATTTAAAGTTGTAACCCAGGGCATTGTCCCTCTAATTTGGGATCTAAACATAGCAGGGCAGGAAATATTCAATGATAAAGGGAAATTTGAATAGATTATTTCTTACTGAGTTCTACTCAGTGATAACTGCTTTTCAGTTGACTTGAGGGTATTTTCTGTAAAGATAAGCATAAATATTTTTAGAAATTATGTTTAATATGACATAGATAAGAAACAGAAAATTGCTAAGTAATAAATCAGTAAGAAATGTCCCACTCCTCCTCCATCTCAAGGAGCTGCTCTTCTGAAAATGGAGCAACAGGGTCAAGGGGAGAGGGGTGAGGCTGGCACCAAAGACTGAGAGGATCAAGAGTTGCTGAACCTTGGTAACTCTGAGATGGGGACTGCACTAGGAAATTCCTAAACCCTCCCTCCTCTGCCTTTATAAAAGAACCTCTTCTTCACTTTTCAAGGTGGCCTTTAGACACTTTTAAAGACCACAGTCACCTTTTCCACAGTGAAATCACTAATTATGTGCATTTTCAGTTTCATTAAACAAATCTTTCCTGCTTGCAAAGGTCACAGTTGCCTCTTGATGAGGAAAATGTGGAAAATTACCCTCATTCATTCACACTCAGTAAAACTAAAAAGCAGAACAATATGTTAACACAGACTTATTTCATCTGGACTGCCCAGAGTGTGGTGCAGTGTAATGTGTATGCTAATGAACAGTAACTAACAGCTAATGAAATTCAAGAAATGGGACATTTTCCTAGTTTATGTTCAGATACCATCCATGGGTCCCATTACTGATTGGTGGCATGATGCAATGGCAGCACAAATGCTGGGCATGCCAGTCAAGCTGATTCTACCATAAGATAAACTTAATAATTTGATACAAACATGTTGTACCAGTGTGCCTCTAGTAAAACACAAAATAAGGTACTTTTCAAAGGAAGTAGAGTGGTGAAATGATGGCTAAGCAAAGCATGGCTACCAATTCCTCAGTGTTGAGATCTAGGCTTGAGGTTTAAATTGAATTGTAATGGACAATCTTTTTCCCTCCATGACTTAAATTACAATTATTCCGATCATTTATATTTCCTGAATACCCTCTTCTGTGATCTTTGAAGAACTTTAGAAAGACAGGTAGTAGCTATTTTTCACTGGGCAGGAGCTGAAGCTGCCCAACATTGCTGTGAGCTCAGAATTCTCAGAATTCTTGACTCATAAATTCTTCAAAGAAAACAGTAAAAAATTTGTAATTATTTGCTCAACTACGTGCATTAAGAGAAGTAAGTAATTCCACATAGAATAGTTGTGAGCACTAATATTTGGTTAAGGAAAGGGTCTTTGATAATTCTAGCCTGCCAAAGATGATGTTAGCATCCTGCCTACCTTTCCCATCTTCAAAAATAGCTCTGTAAATCTGATAAGGTAACTCTAAGACATAGCTAAAGATCACAAGGACCTTTTTCATAGGGAAGCCTTAAATATAGAAGTTATGGGACAGGAATATAAAGAAAAAAAGGCTAAATCCTATAGTAGAAACAGGCAATCCCCCAGCTGGGGAATAATGTGCTCTGACTCCATGAATCAGAAGGCTGAACAATTGCTTTATTAAGCTGTACTACATGACACTAATACTGTACTAAATTACATACTAAAGAGATACTATACTAAGGAATACTATACTAAAATACTATAGATACTATACTAAAAAGATATTAAAGAAAAGCCTGTGACTGTCTTCAGACAGCCAGGACACAGTTTTGACCCAACTGGCCAAGGAATCAAAACAACCTTCACCGGTGTCCAATAACCAAATCACTTTGGGTAAACAATCTCCATAACACATTCCACATGTGCAAAACCAGAGGCGCAGCAAGTAGAGATAATAAAGGTTTTCTCTTCTTCTCTGAGCTTCTCACTGCCTTCCTCAGGAAAAATCCTATGGGAAAATTGTGCCTGCTGCTCTCTGTGAAGAGAGCGGCAGCCACAAAATCCCAGTGCAATGCACAAACTTGGAGTAGTTCTAATGAAAAAATCTTACTAACTTTAAGATGCAGGAAAGCTTTTCTGGGTAATTTTTTTCTCTAGGAGTTGGAAAGCAGAAGCCTCAGACAGCAGCAAGTATTACATAGCTAATGTTTATATGATCCCCATATCTGTGAGAACCCACCTGAACTGTTCGCAAAATGAAACAACACTGATGTTACATTTAGGTTGTAATTCAGCATGCCTGTATCAGATTTACCATGAGTATCATCAGGAAGCAATATCAGCATATTTGCAACATTTACTTTCTGAATCCCCAGAATTTTAAAACACAATTCAAAAACTTACAAGAAATAGTCAGTTCTGGGATGATTTCTTCACTTACTTCCAAGAGCAATGGCAAAAGCTGAAAAACAAATGAAAGTATACCTTGGATTTCCACTGAAAGGTTTCAATTATCTGTCCATGCTATACAGATTCACACATGTTGTTCTAACCTGCCAGAAAATCAAAATTTTTGGAAATGAAATGATCTCTTAGGTTCACTGAAGTTTTAAATCAATTACAATGGAGACAGTTTAGAAGAAGAATAAAATAACAGCTTTCCTATTGCACAAAAAGATTAATCATAGAAAGGTTGCCATAAACATTATTATAGACTGGTATGAGTCCTTCAGGTAGACTGACAATCTCTCATGGGCATCTATTTTAAAATTGTATCAATGAAAAGTTATTTGTTGGAAAGTGACTCACAGCTGATTAGTCTGAAGACAGAATAAGTAAATGTAGAAGACCCTGAAGCTTCTGGCTGCATAAGTAACTTCTGATAATTCATGGGTGGTTTAACACCTGAGATTTCTGTAGCAGAAGTCTTCCAACAAGAACTAACTTAATAACAAATATTGTGAAAAGATTCCTCTCATTTGAGAGCAAAATGCTTTTAAAGCTATTATATGACATCTTTCATTTTACATTCAAATTTCTAAACATCTTCTATTTGTGTTCTGATTGCAAACACGTACATGGAAAAATTCTAAGAGAAGCCTAAAAATCAGAAAGGCATTTCAGCTGTAATTCACATTGGAAAGAACATGAAATACCTTAAGAATACCAAAAATACTCAAATGGGTTCTCAGATAGTGTAGGAGGCCACACCATTGAAGTGACAGGTCTTCTTTAAAGCTTGGAGGTGGGGGACCAGCATCTTTCTTCAGATGCAGTGACTAAAGAAATTTCTCATTGAAGGCCCCTCATATTTTATGAAACTGCTTTAGATGGAATTTTGCCCAATGGTTTTCAAGATCAGCTGAGTGAGGAGCCAACAAATTCATTCAGAGCATAAGAGATCTATTTTCTATCTCTGTTCCTGATGTGACCTCAACACAGTAAGTAGAGGCTCTAGGGGTCTCTTCTATTCTGTTACATTTATTAATGAGAAAAAAAATAAAGAGGGTGTTCATATTATTGTAAAGGTGGCCCCCTCACAAAGCATTACCTACGTATTACTGCAGAACTGCCAAATCACAGAATGGGCATGGTTAGAAGGAAACATTGTGTTTTTGCAGATTTGGGCTTGCCAGAAACATCAAATTTGACCCCAGTCATGGAAATATGATTTATTGGGCCAGGGAGACAACAGGCATAAAAATTGATTTCTGAAATTATCTGCACAAAAAAAAAGCATAAATATTTTTGATACATACAATAAATTGGTAATGTCATTATTCAAAGAACCACTACAAATTGCTAAGCATAGGTGCAAACTTTTATAATAACCAAACTCTAGTTTAAATTACATTTAGATACGTTATTTGAAATTGTGAAACATACAGATATATGGTTTCAAAAATAATTAAACAAATTAAAGGCACAAAAATCAGTCAAAGAGTGTTAAATTCAGAAGGCAACCTCTCTCACACAGCCCTTCAGCCAACTGCTGGTGGGATTTTTCAGGGGAGTATCTTAAGCATGTGCTCTGCTCCAAGACTATTCCCATAATCAATGTCTGAGACAGGCCAGTGGGCTTGAGAAACATCTTTTCACAAGAGTGGATCTGCATTAAAACTTTAAATTCAGTTCTGCAGCTGTCAGTCTTACTTTGGCTTTTCCACATTTCAGAAGTAATGTGGTGCTGCCATCAACTGGAGTTAAGGATTTAAAGAAATGGGTCTTTTTGAGTAGAAACTGTATTGTGTCACTGTGTACTTGAGCCTCTCAGTTTGAGTGGGAGTTGTGCCTACACTTGGAAATTCAGAGGGCTTTTTGCCCATCAGCAAAGGTTGTTTGTGTGGTTTACATTTATAAACATGGAAACATCCAACCTGCTTCCTTCCTGAATGAAGTCTGAACCATCCCTCGTGTATTTCTAAATTATTAAGCAAAGCCTGACCTTTTGGGGTTTTTTTCATTTAATCCTTAGGACTATCAGGAGGCTTCCAGTTTGGAGCAATTTGTAACTCGCTTTCTTTTGAAGGAGACACTGAACCAGCTGCAATCCCTGCAGAGCTCCCTGGAGTGTGCCATGGAAAGCACGGAGGAGCAGAGCCAGCAGGAGAGGTGAGCAAAGCTGCAGGGAAGGGGTGAGGAGTGAGGCCACAGTGAAACTCCACAACTGCTTTACATTTCACCCAGCAATCTGATAGAGGGAATAACAGGAGAAATAGGGATACACTTTTTATTCCCTATAGGAACACACTAATAGGAGTTTTCCTGAAACTGAATGCATCTGATGTGGGGCTGCCTGTAGGACAGTAATTTAGGTACCTGCTAGGTTCTGCTGACTTATTTTTAAATCCCTGGACAGTTTAATATGAAATGTAGAAACCAAACCACTGCAATATAAAGAGCTCTGAAATTACTAATTTTCTGATTATTTTGTTTGTTTTTTCCAGCTTTATAATTTATCTTTTTTTGATGCACAATGCAAAAATGTTAAAGGAAGAAAGCAGCCAGGCTTTTGCTTGTCACAGCTTCTTCCTAGAATATATGGCCATATACTTGGTTAACTTCTAGCTCTGTAAACTCTCAATCACCTGGGTAGCCTTCATCCCTCCAAGGGTTTTAGCTTGATCTCTGTAATGAGGTTTTGTAGAATCAAAGGTCAGAATATTTTTGAAAAGTTACTTGGTTATATGGAAATTTTTCCTTAGTATGCTATGTTAAAGACAATAGGGAAAGCAAAATACAAACTGTTGTATTTTATGGACAAAGAAGATCTTAAGACCTTTCTGTTGGAAATGTAATTCTTTTTTCTGTTGGAAATGTAATTTTCTTGTTTGTTTTGCTGTTGGGTTTGAGATCCCCTGAAGTACAGGAGTAATACCTGGTTTTGTGCCAGCATCTTGACTGTAGGAATCAATCAGGTTTTGAAAGTCTGAGGGTGCACCAAGCATGAACAGTGTCTGTGCACCTCTATTCATGCCAGTTCCTCTGCAGTGATGCTACAAAACTCCTGTGAATGAACAAACTGAATGATTACTTAGGTCAGGTCAGAACCACAGTATGCACACATACTGACCTTGAAATTTGTCTCCCTCAAAGATTTAGGTTTATGCCAGCTTAACCCTCTTCTTTTTTTCTTTTAACTTCTTTAATGACCTAATCAAAACTAATGAGTAATAGTGAAAATCCAGAAAATAATTCAGTGCTCTCAACAGGTATTTCTTTTTATTTAATTCAAAAGGGAACATAAAAGCACACTTTTTGAGAACAGAGAGAGAAGAGCTGTCCCACATTTTTTTCTTAAGAAGTCTCCTGTGTTTCTGTGTGGAAAAGATCCAACAAAACCAGAAGTGCTCTCAGTTCAGTGGCCAGGAAAATGCTTAGCTCGAAGGCTTCAGAGGAACAACAGCCTGTCACCAAATAGCCCTTATTCTAGCACAGATATGGTATTTCACATTTTAAACACATAGACATATATACAGAAAAATACACACAAATCTTCCTCTCTAAGAATTTAATTTAGACATGTAACTAAGATACTTTACTGGCAGAAGACAATTTCAATTTAATACAGAAGATACTAAATGAAAACTGAGGAAAATTAATGCATATCCATAGATCTGAAATTATAAAAGATAAAAACTTAATTGTGGGCCAAAGTGTGTATTTTGGATTGATTCAACATTTTTTAGGTAATCTGTATTGCTTGCAGATATGAAAATGTGAAGGCATAACTTATATGCAACCAAGTTGCATATAAAGTCATTCATGCATTGCAGAATGAAAATGTGAAGGCATGACTTATATGCAACCAAGTTCTCTGCCATGACTCACATCTCAGCTGAGGGGAATAAATAATAAACAGAAAAGGAAAACACAAAACCAGAAAGAAAAGAATATTTCATTTAAGATAACGCACACAAAAAAAAACATCTGCAGCAGCATTTCTGCTTTGGAAAATGATGGAGTACTTTAGTAAATGGGATTATTTGGAAGCTGTGACATTAGGCATGAAGCTGCAGTGAAGACATCTCTGTGCTTAGTTACATGTCCCAGAATCAAGGCATGAGGATGACTGAAACAACAAAACATCTAGTGAGTCTATCTCTCTTCTTGACCATGTGCTGACCTCTTCCTTTTAAACCCTCTGCTGAGGACCTTTCTGTCACTCACATTCATGACTCACTCCGATGTTTGGTCTCTTGTGGGTTGGTGTTCCTAACAGGGAAGGTCACAGAGCCTTGTAGCTGCACTCCTGATTCAGAAGGAGCCCAAACAAATGCAAGTTCTACCAAATCCACTCACTGTATTGGTGTAATCTTAAAGAGCTAACATTTTCCTCCACAGCTCTACTAATAGCTGACAGCTGTCTACTTTCCTACACAAGGTTTGTGTTTGTCTTGGCACTTGGTCGTCCTGCTTACTGCCAGCTGCCCACGGTAACACTGTGGTGTGCACCCAAGGCTCAGGCCAACATTCCTTCAGCCTGTGTGCCTGCTCAGGTAAAGCCACACCCTGTCTCCTGTACAGAGCACAGCTGTGGTATGTTCTCAGCATTAGGATTTCTTTCTTTGGTCAAAATATATGCAAGTGACACAAGAACTCTCAGCTGGGAAATGAGAAGGTTGATGAATGTGGACAATAAGAGCATTTATTGAAAAATCTTCCATTTCTGATAAATAACCTTCCTCTCTCCTTAAAGCAACCACTTATTTACACATTTACATGATGGGTGATGTCAGAAACTTCTTTAATAATGCAAATATTTGTTTCCTTGAGTACTGTCATTTTCATTTGGCAGACAATTTTCACAATACTTTAGCAAAGCAAAACTTTCCAGAGATATTAGAGGGACTCACAGAATCACAGAATATCCTGAATTGGAAGGGACTCATAGGGATCATCAAAGTCCAACTCCTCACCCTGTATAGTGTCATCCCCAAGAATCACACCATGTGCCTGAGAGCATTGTCCAAATGCTTCTTGAACTCTTGATGCTGTGACCACTTCTCTGGGGAGCCTGATCCAGTGCCCAGCCACCCTCTGGGTGAAGAACCTTTTCCTGATATCCAACTTAATTCTCCCCTGACACAGCTGGATGCCATTCCCTGTCACTTGTCACTCTCACCAGAGAGAAGAGATGGGTACCTGTCTCTCCTCTGCCCCTCACAAGGAAGTTGCAGACTGTGATGAGGTCTCCCCTCAGTCTCCTCTTCTCCAAACTTGAACGAATCAAGTGACCTCAGCTGCTCCTTTTATGGCTTCCCCTCAAGACCCTTCACCACCTTCATAGCCCAGATGCTTTTGCCTGTCTAGAACAATATAGTCTAGCTCCAGCCTTGCTATATGACATCAGATTGGGTTGGATGGGGCACTGAGCAATCTGACCTAGTGGAAGGTTCCCTGCCTGTGGCAGGGGAGTTGAAATCTGATGATCTTTGTAGTCCCTTTCAACACAAACCATTCTATGATTCTATGATCAGGTCACTATACAGACAGGAATATCCCTGCAGTGGAGATGGAGAACTTTCTTCTGCTACCAGCATTATTTCAAAAGCACTGGCATTTATAATGTAGTTTTCATTCTGTCTTGGATTTCTATTGAATCTTAAAAAGAAAGAAAATAATTCATTGAGTCAAATCATATTTTCCTTTAGTTCCACCTGTCGCAGTGAGGGAAACTTGGACGCTCAATATGAGTGTTTAGCAAGCTTTGTTTATTGAAGAGAGCATCAGGCTTTTATGCACAACAAGTAATAAGCTCATACATATTCTGCAAGCTAAGCAATCTACTGGCTATACTACAATATCAGCTCTTCCTCATACCTTAGGGGTTACATCTTTCTTTTCTCATGTCTCTCTCACTACTTGTTATTGTACCACAGCTATGCTCAAGGACACAGTGTTTGCAGGTGCAGGGACCCAGATTAGCTGCATCCTCCCAATTCTTGGTCTAGAACGTGGCCCCTGTCACGTAGCCGTTCTTCCATGTCCACCTAAATGAACATTGAACTAGTTGCAGCACAATCTTTGAAAAGCCAAAAAATTTGCAGGGATATTTTTTTATAAAATACAGGAATGCACTATGTACCAGCAACTTAGCAACATTTTATAAAGGTTAATCTTTTCTCTTTTTCAAAGGTTGGATTGAAGAAGACAGCCAATGGGTTGTCCAGATAAACAGACTCCAGAGGCTAATTGATAGACTGGAAAAGAAGGTGTGCAGGTTTTTCACCTGTTTCTTCTTTCACTTTCAGTAAATTAATCCTTAAACTACAAATGTTTTCAATGCCCCAGTTGCAACATTACCTAAGAGACCTAACACTCATTAAATGCCTACATTTTCTTCCACCTTCGTCTTTCCTATTCATGACATTGCTTTTCCATGCTCTTCCCTTTCCCCCTCCCATTAACACAGATTGAACTTTTCATAAAGATGTGAAAAATTGTATTATTCTATGACTGGAGAATGTTAATGTATTCAGTAGTGCTTGTTTGTGGGAGCATGTTACAATCTTCCTCTTTTAGGATCTGATATTTTCCTCTTCCTCTCTAAACTTTTACATGAAAGCTTGGTAGAAAGTTTTGTTTCCTCCTTTCCCATCAGAGAATACTCATTTATAAAGATTAAACTGCTTTGCTTGTCAGTACAGTTCAACCAAAGTCTGATGCAAATATTTTTGGGAGCTGGCTGCAGCAGCTCCCAGAGCCCAGAAACCACCTGTGTTTCCCACACCCAAGCAGAGCCCTCCAGGAGTCTGACAAATCACCCATCTGATCAACAATGCCAGGGCTTCCCAGTGCTTGTAAAGTCCTGAGCCACATCTCTCAGTACAGAAAATATCTATTCTTCATTATTACTCTGACTTGATTATTACTCTGGTGTTCAAAAGTTGTCTTAAAATCTGGATGTGATGATTTCTTTTTTTCTTTTTTATTTTAAGAAAGAACAGCAGAGGAAAAAGTAAGGTTATAAATTCCTGAGTTTTTCTCTGCATTAAATTTCCCTATTGAAGGACAGACAGACAATTTCAGACATGCCCTAAGGGAGTGGCCGAATTCAGTGGATTTTGGGACCCAGGGTGTTTCTTCCTCCTTGTCCACTAGAGGTGAGGTTTTGAGTTGTGCTCTCAGACCCAGGAGTAGCTCCAGTCCCAGTGCAGCTGCTGCTGTTCCTCCCCACAGGTCAGTGCTCAGCAGCAGTGAGAGCACTTCAAAGACATTGGCATGGGTCTCTTCACCAGCACCCACACAGGCAGCACTCACAGGGACATGAAACAGTCTGATCCTGTTCTTTTCTTTCTAGTTGCTTGGGATATTCCCCTGTGAATATTGTCATCTAGTATTTGTGGCTGGACCCATGCCAGGCACTGGCTCAGACCTTGGGTCAAGGCAGAAAAACATCTCCTGTTACTCAACCACTAGTCCAGCTTGAGTTCAGTAGCAAGTTACACACACAGAAAATAGTTAAGTGAGGATTTTAACAAAAAACCCCAATAAATGGTGGTGACTTGGCACAGGCCTCAGCAAGAGAAGCACACTGACCTTTCCTCCTTCCCAAAGGAAAAAAAATGCCCCTAACTACCTTTCCCTTTTGGTCCCAGTTTGGTGTTTCTGTTATCTCAGCCTCATTACTGATTAGCTGCATGTGGCCACCCCCAGCACTGCTGGCCTTGCTCCAAAAGGAGCCCAGTGTTCCCTTTGGTTATCCCAGCAGTCTGACAGTCTCTCACATCACTTCTCCTTAACCAGCTGTGAAATGGGGCCATTCCTTGTGGCACTGTCCATGACTCTGTCAGCTTCTCACTCTGCTCTTGCCCTGCAGCTCCTCGTGGTCTGCTCAGTGCAGAAAGCTCTGCCCAGGGGTACCCGTGAGCCTCTGCCCAGCCACTTCCTCCCAGAGGCCATTTCTGCATGGGAAAGGCAATTACACAGCAGTTGCCACATTAGGGACATTTTAGTAGCAACTTGATCTTTTTCTGAATAGATATAAATTGGATTTTGAAATGTCAAAGTCCACCATGAAAGGTAAGTCTGGCTTTACTCTCCACTCAGCTCTGGAAACAGCAGCTCACTGCCCTGCCACAATTGCCACCTGACATGGACTGATGCCAAAAAAAACCCATTTAAATGAATGTTACTTTAAAAAGAAATAAACATGGCATTCAGCAATAATGCAGTTCAAATGTTACAGAAAGCAGCCAAACATTTTGTGGTAAATAAACTTATAACAAGGGTGTTATAAAGTGATCAAATTTTTTACAGACAAATAACAGAGAACCTGAGTCTGAAAAGGAGCTTGGTGCCAAAGGGAAGCAGTGGCAGGGTATAAACCTCCCATAATTACCTCCTTGTCAATATAAAACTTGATTAATAAAACATAGCAATTACATAAGTCTAATTTTTCCAGTAGACAACCTATCTATATTCACCTTTGTCTAATTTTGCATCTATTTGAATTTGTATCTCACAATCATGTCTGACTGGGAGAGGAATTAAATACCAGCTGCCTGTCAGACTAAAACTCCTCTTCTTGACTTTGCCCTGAAAAAGATGAGAAGGGATTGCACAATCATTCTAAAAGGCAATTTCAGAAGCCACCACTTCTCAGCAGAGGTGAGGTAGGATCACAAAGGCATTTTAAAGCCTCTGAGCTGCATCCATTTTTATTTCCAGGCTTTATTTACACATACTGGAAAAGAAAACAATTATTTTCTTACTACATTTAGAGAAATTTTGCAGTACTTCCTGGAGTCATTCCTTTCCTCTCTTTTTCCATATGTTTCCTGACCAAAACAAAGGCAGTGCAAGTGAACTTTCACTTCAGGAATACACTTTTTTTCCCCTCTTTTTTTTATCTGAAGTGTCTGCACTGACAATAAAGCTGGCTGTCTTTCCCTTCCCACACACATTTCATGACTTCAACTTCACAGCAGCTTCTGAGCACTTCACTCCTGCCTTGCTCTGCCACCTGCTGCTGGTGGAGGTGCTCTGCTCATTTGAATTCTACCTGCACATCTCTAGTTGGTTTTCAGTGAGTACAGCATCTGTGCTGGCAGAACAGCTGCTACCTGAGGTTAATCAATCCTCACCCATGCTGGGAGTGGAAGATTTTTCTCTTTGTTGCACAAGAACTGTGTTCAGTGAGACGTGAAGCACCACTAACAGAGTGTGTTTTGCTCCAGCTGCTTATTGCAAATCAATCTGCTTTTTTTTCTCAGGCACATGGGTATTTTTCAGAATTTCATAATGGCACTGGGTTAGGAGGTACTGCATCTGCCTGGCAAGTAAAGAATGATTTTGTGTGTGTTACAGGGTGGTGTTGGTGTGAATCACTGATTCCTGAAGTGCACATCCAGTTTGGGTACCAGGTGCACTCACAGATGCATCTCTTTGCTGCTGCCCAGCCCATTCTTACAGCAAGGGCTGAACAGAGGTTCAGAGACCTGACTTGGACCATCATGCACATCTCTTTCAATGCTAGAAAACAGCCCCTTGGAAACACAGATTCCCTGCAGGGAAGTTTCTTCTGTGTAAAATTTCATGACTGCACAACAGTAGCTGATAGTTCATTTCAAATTGCCATTCTTACTCATCTCCACAGTCCATGAGACAATTTGAGAGGATGTCTGTCTTTTCTCAATTAAATCCAACATACATTTAGGAACAAGCAGATTTGTTAAAATGAAAAATCACCTGCCAAGCACTATAAATAAAACTTTACAAGACAGCCTGGGCTGGAATTAACCACTGAGGCATGCAGGATCATGTAAAACTTGTGTTTGACTTAGAACTAATAAAGAAGGGATTTAACTTCTTGAGGTAGAACAGAATCTAGGTTTTGGAATAGCTTGTAAAAAATGTAAGAGTGGAATACATCTGTATTATTGACTCTTCTTACAATTTCTATTTTCTTCTCAATTGCCTCAAAGGACCTAAAGCTTGAGCCACTTGAAGAGGAAGTTTTGGAAGAAAATGCAAGATCTGTAAGTACTGTTCAAGATAATGATTTTGACATTTTATTTTAAGCACTGGGCATTGAGACCACACCTGGTCTCTTTTTTTAAAAAATAATTTTAAAAATCTTTATCCTCACTTTTTCCAGTGATAAGAATCCATTTTAGTTAGCAGGATACACTGTGCAAAAGGCAACAACAAAATTTAGAATATGTGAGTAAAACTTTTATATTAACTTTTTAAAGGACAGAGTGAGCCAAAACCTTAACACACATAAGGAGAAAAATTATTAAGATTTATCAAATTTGGCAGCAATGTTTATGGGGTGGTAGCTTCTCTGCTCCAAATGCTGAATGCATGCTTTAACCATTGTTGTACAGCCTCCCTCCCTCCCAAAACTGCTATAGGAAATCTTATGAGGTAAAATGGAAGAGTATCTCGTGCTCATTACAATCTACAAAATCAAAATTGTGACCAGAAATAAACTTACTGTTAAACAAGCTTAGGTCCCAAGACTGATAAACTAGCATTCCTAAATTCATAAACCTAACATTCAGTCATTTGAACTTAAGAAAATGCAAATCAAATATACATGAAAAAATCATTTAATCACAGGAGTTGATTAGATTTTTTTTTTAAATGAGATTATGCAGTATTGCTACACAGACTGCTAATAATCCATGATTTAACAGTATTCATAATCAAGGCAGAAGCAAGTCAAAAACCTGCATGAGAAATTAAGTTGTACTCATTAAGAAGCACATAGTATTGCTTTAAATGTTCCATTAGTAAAGTTGACAAGCTTCAATAGATTAATCAGTAAATAAACAACTTGAAAGAACTAAATGATAATTATTTTAATTCAGGATAGATAGGATCTTCTGCACTGCTGTTTCCATAGTCCTGTTTAAAAAGACTGTTCATTTTCCTGCAGAGTTATGGAGGGAAGACCTCTCTTAATCACTTAATGTGGGCTATCTTAGGCATCTCAGTCAGGTGAGGGGCAGGGCTCTAAAAGGGAAAAACTATGAAAGCATCTTAACAAAAACAACAATGCATCCAGTGCAGGTTGTGGGGATATTCTATTATCCCAAACCTCACACCTGCTGGCATACAGATTCATCCAAGGAAACACACTGACTTTATTACTCAGCATCTCAAAGACCAACCTTTGCTTTGCCCTCTTCTGAGAAGACTCTCTCCTCCAGAGTTAGGACAACAGGCTAAAGTGGACACTCATGCCCAAAAACAAAAGCCATGCTTGAGCATTTCTACTTCTCCACTCCAGAGCACTAAAACAGGGACTGCAAACCTCAAGGGAACTTTTGTGGGTTTTCTTCTATGATTGTGGTTTTGTTTCATTCTAGACTTTTCTGAGTTTAAAGTACAATTCAGAGGAAGCTGTGGCAGCAATATTGTCATGGTTTTGTATCAGCAGATAATGATTGTTCAGCACTAAATGTCTGTGAAAGAAGAAAAAGTGGAAGAATTCCACCTTGCCCTGAAGCAGTACCTGGAATCTGCTTCTGCTCAAGGTGGCTGCTTGCAGTAAGTACAGGGTTATTGTCCCTGGGCTGAAGGAAGAAATGTAGTCTTTTTTCTTTAGTAACTTGGATTATTCATGAAGAGAGAACCTATGACACCTTTCTTGGTGCGTCGTGTGTGTGTGTAAGACAAAGCTTCTTTAAAGACACCTAGAACTAGAAAGAGATGTGGGAATGTGCAGATTTTACCTACTATCACAAAATGACTGTACATCCCAAAGATGCTAAACAATCTTTTCAGGCTTGTTAGCTCTGCAGGTCATCAATTCATGACTTCTGGAAGCTTCTAGGCTGACATTCTTTATTGAAAAACTCATTTGCCATCCTTCATTTATGCTCACCTGGAAAAGGAGCAACTTATCAATTGTTTACCAGTTCTCTGCTTGGAAGCTTTCAGAATCTTCCCTTTAGGCTGTCACTGTAAAATTTAAATTCATAATAAATAATTGGAAAAATTAAAAAGCAAAATTTTCAATGAAAATGTGTTTCTGCTTTGCTCCTTTTAGAATTAATAAAACATTAGAGCTGGGTTAAGAATAAATTTTAGTGGCTTACCAGTGTACTTAATATTGAATTTAACATAATAGAGAGATCTACTATCATACATACTACAGACCATTATGAAAAAGATATTTTGGTAATGTGTACACAATGCAGAATCTTCCCATCTAGTCAAGGGCTTCAAAGACTGCCTATCACAGCCCTAATTTATGAGTCTTGTTGCTATGAGATTATCACAATTAGGATTTTATCAGTAGTGTTCACATAGACCAGAAAAATTAAGCTGGAAGAGTGACCTTTCTGCAGTGGTTCACTTGTAAAGGCAGACTGATGAGGAAAATAAAATTCTCTTGTTGGCCAAGAGATGGAAAAAGCCCCCAATAAGAAGTCCTCCCAGCCTCCTCCCAGAAATGAGCATCCAGCAAAACACTGTAGTGACTGCAGATTTGTTGGGGAAGAGAGGTGACATGACTTCAGAATGCAAGTTAGCGAATGCTGGCAGAAAGTTCCTTTCTTTCCCAAGTCTACAGGCATTTGTTAAGTCTGTAATGCCACCTAACGATGGGTTTTGCTGTAGCTATAATTGACAGTGACTTGTTTTTTCCAACAGCTTTTGATATTTTGGCCATTTTACCATGCACTTTCACATACAGCAGGAAAAAAACAATAAATCACAAAACATTGCTGACTACAATATGAAGCATAAGCTGAGACCAGTTTTCAAACACATCATTAGTGAGGTCAGCAATATCACACTTGGGCACATGGAAAAATCTGTATATATACTTTCTGTGCTATTTATCTAAACACCAATATGAGTACCCAAGTGAATAAATACCCTACACACTACAAAGCTTTTATCCTTTATGCTCAGGATAATAAGCAGGATGATGCTGTGTAGAGGATCAACAGATATTCTGTTGGTCATTTTCCACTCCTGAGAAACTGTTACTTGAATAACTTAAGAACAAGTAAGTAGTAGGCAAAATATTAATTTAAAAGTGTATCTGCACCAGATGTCAGCCTGTGTAGCTTTTTACTCTATAATATGTACATTATTTCATCTACTCCATTTGCTTTCAAAGCACCTAAATTCTATGACACTTGGATGCATCTCTCATACAAAAGGATAACTTCTACTTATTAGATGATCTTCCCTGAGCGGCTGTTTGATTAATTTTCTGTTTAGCATTTGTTTTTGTTTTTCATATTGGAGCAATATGAAAAATGATTTTCATAAAATATTACATAATAAAAATAAATATACAAGGGTTTTTATTTTTAGAAGCTCAGATAATTTGAAGTATGTGATCACTATGATCACTCATTTGTTAAGTTTATTAATTGGGTTTGTATTGCGTTTGGTTTTCTTGTTTTGTTCTGTGGGGTTTTTTTTCAAAAGTCACTGCATTTGTTCCTACTGATAAGCAGTTAGGAATAAAATGTATATGTCCAATAATTTTGTTTTGCTTCATTAAATTAGTTTTATTGTGAAATTCTTAGTGTTTCCATACAGAAGATTCTGAGTAACTTCCACTTCATTGTTTACAAGTTCTGAGAAAACAGCAATGCCTGGAATAGGTAAGTGTCAGGACTGTGGTGGCTTTCTTTTTTCTTTTTTTTTTTTGGTAATGCATAAAGTTTTGAAGGTTATAAATCAATTGTGTGGAAAGACTGAGTACAAATTACTTTAAATATTGCTAACTGATGTTTTGCTAAATACATCACAATTAATACTTCAGAACAATACTTTGGTTGCTAAAGACTTGAATATACTGAAACATAAATAAAAATGCCAGAAATACAATGGTGATTATTCAAAGCAGAAAGAGTCCAAAAGCAAGTACATAAAGATATAGCATCAGGTGGATGTTAGTTCATCAGAGACAAAAAACCAGGAAGACAGCAATAGCACCAGTTTCATGATAAGGAAGAAGAAACAAAAAGACACAATTATTGAAACAGAAGATGTGCCAGCCTGTAGCACACATCAATAGTTATGGGGAACTCTCCCACAACTTCCCAATCTACATCACAGGAACCCATCCAACAGACTTCCAGAGTGTCTCTTTTGGGCCCAAAATAGAAATTATTAAACATCCTACCAGCTGAATGCTAGCCTCTGGCAGGCAGATGACGAAGGAGTCGAGTAGAGACAAAAGGATTGTCCTTACCTACATTTAGTTACAGCACTGAAATACACCAACCCTGTGATCCTAAATCTGTAGAGAGAGCTTGTTCATAGGGAGATGGAGAAGTCTCTTGCAGCTTTGTTGCTTTCCTGTCAAACAAAACCCCAGTTTTACTGGGTTTCCTATCACCAAGACTCAGGAACGCTGGTAACACATGTCAACGCTGTACTGGGTCACAACCAAGAGATGAGCATCAGACTGACAGCGAGCTGCACAGAGAAAACCTGGGTTTCATATATCTGCAGGCACTTCATAGCTTATCTGGTCTCCTCTCCCACTATCACTGTAAGATTTGAAGCACAGAATCTCTATACAGCATTAACTGTGAAATTTCTTATGCTCATTTAAAAAATTGAGCCCCTTTAAAAAACATGTTACATTTTTATTTTTTACAATTATTTAGCCACCTTCAAATGAATTACAGCAAGACATTCCAGAGAAGTAATATGGATTTCTTGGAAACTCCAGAGCTCATCACAACAATGCTAGTCCCTGGTAAATATCAACTTTTCACTTCTTTTTTTTTGTCTTTTTTTTTTTTGTTACATGTGAATGGTTCTATTAGTGTGTACCATATGCAAGACCACTGCATAATATCACCCTTATTCAGATCTTCTTTGGTAAAGTATAGAGAAAAGAACTACAAATATTTATATTTTAACCACATAAACATAAAATGCATCAGCAAGGAGAAGACCCGCAGTGCTTTATAGTGTGAAGTAACACTGACATACTATTTAAGAAAATATTTAGAATAAACTTAAGAAAATATTTAGAATAAACAATACTATTTGTGAATGGTAAAATAGATCCCATTTAAGATTTTCAAGGGAAAAAAATGCTTTCTGATTAGGACTTCAATTTATTCCTACTTACATTAACTGAAGGGAGCCTTATTTACCAATAATTGATATTCACTAACGAACTTGATGTACACACTTCCTGCTATGTTAAAAAAAAAAACAAACAAAAAACAGGCTGGTAAAGATTCCAAATTTTTATTCTTAATAGAAACCAATGAGCATGTAACATCTTTCTCCTAGAAATAAGAGTTAAAAGACACAGTGCAGGTGCAGGATGAAGCAAAGAAAGAAAGCATTAGTCCCATATTTACAGAAAGAGGACAGTAATTTTTTTTTTTTTAGAGAACACAATCTATTACAATGAAGCCCTAATTTTCTATGTGTCTGAGTACAGACTAAATTTAATATAATAAAACTTCACTTAGTAGAAAAATAAATGTAGTCCTGTACCTGGGGTTTGTCCTTAAAGGAAACCAGACAAGACATCTTCAGATCTCACGAGCCTGACGTGGACAGTAAATTATATGCCAGGGACTCCTGCAGAATTCGGAGATTGAAGTTAATGAACCAAATATCTCTGTAAATCTTGTATCTACTGGGATGTTGCTGGATTTAAGAGAAACTTGATTTGGAAACAGTGGAGCCTTTTTCAAAAATTCTTTTTGTCCAAGAGACTGCACATGATCCAGCAGTGTTCCAGGGTAGTTTACACATGGGTAAAGTGCAATTTACATAAAATAAAATGTAAACATAATTTTTAAGTGCCTAAATATGGAAGTGTTTGAAATTGGATTCCAAGTACTCATTAAAGCATTTGCTCTGCCTGCTAAGAAGGATTTCAGTCTGCAGCACTCTGTCCTGGCAGACAGTTACCATAGAAACAGCATTTCTCACTGTGCACTCCTTGCTGGGGCAGGGGGGCAGTGGGAATTGATGCATTCACAGTTCTTTGTACAATATTATACATTACCTGTAATTTAGAAATCTGTGCAATGATTTGAACTCTGTTTCATGGAAAGAGCTTCCCACAACTGATCTACACAAACCATATTTGTGTTTGAAAGACAGAAAATGATCTTGAAGTAAAAAATGATGGCTGAAATTCCACCAGTACACTTTACTAAAGAATTTTAGACATATTTCATCACATAAAGTGATATCACTGTAAAATCAGAAGGAAAAAAACCCTAAACCTGTCTGCAGTTAGAACACAGATAGGCTCTATTCTAAAAACAAATTTACCCTAGCTGAGAAACTTCCAGACTTCTTTTACACATCTGGGTAGATAAGAACTGAATCAATTGCAATTTGTAATCTGAATCTGATTCATTCAAAGTTTACAACCTTTAAGTCTTTACCAATTAACTAAAATTAGTAAGGATGCACTTCTGTGGCCAAGAATGATTCAGAAAGACAAGTTTTCAAGACCATTTGATTCAGTATTATCCCAAAGATAATAATTTATCCTCAGTTAAGAGGAACCACAAGCTATTATAACCACTCATACACCTGTTAACTCACCCAGTTGCTTCAGCCAATCTACCAGGGTGGCATGAATCATTCAGTTCACATTCAGTGAATGTCTCATTTTTATACAAGATCATCTGGACTTAAGGACTCTAGAGAACATTTGGGTGAAGAAAACAAGATAAAGGGAAACTACTGAACACTTATAACACTATAACCCATGAAATAAATCGGTAAATTGGCATTTTTGGGGGTTGAAACATCCACTGATGTTTCAAAGACTACTAGGCTCATAGCCTGAACTCAGGTAGGACTCGAGTATTTTCTCATCATGTTTCTTCATGAATAATAATTTTCATTAAAATACCATTAATGAAAACATTTATGGATACATACATAAGAAATAAGTTCTGTTAATGAATTTGTGTAGTGTGACACCTATGTAGCCTCGTACACTCCTTGGCATCTCAGATACAGTCCCTATTCCTTTCCTTCCTTCCCATCTCTCTCCATAAATCTTGTGGCTCCTCTCTGCATAAGGTTCCATTTCAAAAGGTCAAAGGCTAGAGATTGTGGGGAAGAAATACAAATTGGTTTCACCCCAGCACTGCCTATAATATGGTGATTACAGAATTTTTTATGGGAATGACATTTTGCAAGTCCATCAATTCTCTTACTTTTGAGGACAAAAAGTTACTAATTCCTAGAGTTGTATAAAAAACCCATAGATTTGAATAATGTCACTAGAAGAGCAAGTCATTAAAGCTAACACAGCCACCCAAGGAACACAGTGCTTGGGTTAAAATCTGACACACACAGCAGCACAGGACTGAGGATTTATTTGGTTTGCTCTCAGGGTGCTTCATTCTATGCAGCTGCACCTATGACACAATAATGTTTCTTTGGATGTTATCAAAAAGGGATATAATTATTGTGATAAAGCCACCTTCCCACCACTTAGCTCTCCCAGTATTCTGAGTATTTTTTGTCACCAGTATTAGCTGCATATACAAACAAACATTTAATTATATATATTATAGGTATTTTATTTAGAATTTTTACCAGAGGTGAAAAAAGAAATGCAATTTATGCTAAAAAGTAAATAAACTCTGCTCTCTTTCAGCATTGTGGTGGGTTCTCAATAACTAGAAGCTGGGGTTCCAAGTAATGTTAATGTTGTATTGTCTTTCATTACACTAACATTCATATTGCAGTGTACAGGTGAAATTATGATGTGATAAAGTTTGTTATTATGGATGGGATCTTTCCCACTTTATCCATTCTAAGATCTGGAAAACTGTGCATTTATTACCTTTTCTTCTTGTGACTAGTTCAGTGAAATGATGCATTCTAAAAACTGAAAAAAGACAACTATGATGAATTATTTCTGTGACAGTCCAAACTGTCACAGAAAAGTGTGTCTTGAATGTATGACTAAATATTTGTGAAAAGTTTTATTACTGTATTAATAAACAACCATTACTTAATGCTGCTGTGGTCTCCTTTTACAAAAGAAAGAAGTATGAACCTGAACACACATGTTCATACATGTCTGCAGAGAAGCTGTAAGTCATTAATGAAAAGAATAAACATAGGGAAAACTCTTTGTGCTAATACAGAACTTCCCCAGGATATTTTCTGCTCACGACAAGACAAGGCAGCACTACCTTCTCGTAACAGACTCACCCCTTACCCTCCCAAGAGGAAACATATCTGCCTGTCTCTCGTCACTGTAGATCCCCAGACTGAACACTGCACAAGCTCTATGTCCTGATCACTCAGAAAATATTTTCTTTAGATCTCTGGCAGGTCACTGCAAAATCATTAGAGAAACTGCAGTTAAAACATAAATAGCCATAAACCTTGAGCTTGTTTGGAAGTTGGTTCTAGCAGGGGGCAGGGCTGCTGTATACCCCTGACCGATGAACAGCACCATCTCCATGGGGAAGATCACCCTCTTCAACAAGGGTGCAGCTTTGGTAGGGAGGCACATGGAGCACTGAGGGGGAAGTGGACACCCACCAGGCCAGCTGGGTCAGCTCAATCAACCTGGTCATCAGTGGGTGACAGGGGTGGAGCCAGACTGCCCTCACATCCAGGGGTCTGGGTCCTGGTTGATTGAATATCAGCCAGCAGTGCCAACCCTGGCAGCCAGGAGGGCCAACCCTGTCCTGGGGTGCATCAGGCACAGCATCACCAGCAGGCCAAGGGAGGGGATTGTCCTGCTCTGCTCTGAGCTGGGCAGTCTCACCTCGAGTGCTGGGGGCAGTTTTGGGCACAAAATATAAGAGAGATATAAAGGTTTTTAAGAGTGTCCAAAGGAGGGTCATGAGGATCATGAAGGGTCTACAGACATAGCAATACAAGGAGTGGCTGAGGTCACTTGGTCCAGCCTGGAGGAGACTGAGGGGAGACCTCATTGCAGTCTGCAGCTTCCTCATGAGGAGAAGAAGCAGGCACTGATCCCTTCTCTCTGGTGACCTGTGACAAGACCCAAGGAAACAGCATCAAGTTGTATGAGGGGAAACTGAGGTTAGGCAATAAGAAAAGGTTCTTTATGCAGAGGGTGGAGGAACACTGGAACAGGGCAGTGGTCACAGCACCAAGCCTGACAGAGTTCAAGCAGCATTTGGACAATGCTCACGGGCACGTGGTTTGAGTCTAAGTGTATCCTGTCCAGGGCCAGGAGCTGGACTCAATGATCCTTTTGAGTCCCTTCTAGCTGAGGATATTCTGTGATGCTGTAAGACCTGGAAGCAGCAATACTTGATTCCCTAGCAAGTCATGGTGTTGTCTCCTGCATCTGAGGTGTGCCCTCCAGCCCAAGAATGGGCAAGCAACCACTGTAACCTCACACTCCACAGCAGGTTAACAAGCTCTACATGCTACATGACCACTGTCTCCATCCATTTAGCAGTCTAAGCTTACAAACAGTACCCAAAAAGAAACTTAAATGCCATGTTCAATAAAATACCATCTTGTTTAGTTTTATTTTTTCTCAACAAAAAAAGTTACCATATGTAATTGAAAAGGGGGAATTCCAACTACAAAGTCCTTATTGCAGTAAGGTCCTGTATTCCAGAAATCACAAGGTCTAAGCTCAATAGGTTCCTTTTTTATCTGTAAAGTTCTGAGGCAAGTTATTTGCCTAAAGAAAGGCAAATGTAGTGCACGTGAGTTACTGTAGAGGACACCAACTGTTCTCCAGCTCCCAGCTGAAGATGACACGTGTTACCTGTAGTTTGTCTGTCATTCATGCCAGGCCCATGCAGCATGTGGGCTGGAATTCCAGGTGAGTCTCAGATGACGCCAGATGCCTACCTTTAAGCAATTGAATCAAGCCCTTTGCCAATAAAGTTCATGAGGCCTTGGTTATCCACACAAATGTGGATGTCAGAGAGGGATACATGCACATCTGAATTTATGTGCCCACAGTACAGAAAAATTTCACCTTTATCTCTCTCACAGTATCTCAGTGAAAGTGAATGCTTTTAACACCGAAGTCCAAGGCTTTCCTGTATTGACATGATCCAGATCCTACAGATCTGTCCATTTGTAAAAGGGCACTGAAATTACCCTCACAAATGACATCAGTATAAGTTTAAAGGTTTCTTGTCTTAATCAAAGTAAATCTACACATACTTCTGAACAACTGGCTGCTATTTTTACTATGCCAAGATGTTAAGCTACTGTATAGCATGGGGTTTGTCACTACTGACCTACCAACAAAGGAAATAGTGACATGTGACACAGAATCAGGGAAAAACCCTAAAAATTACATACTACACTAAGGTTTGTAACATTTTTTCTTTTCACTGGGAAAAATGTATTAAAATCATTCTTACAATCACCTGCTTTAGAACTTCATGTCAATTAGGTGCTGGAAGGGTGAAAAAAGTTGTAGCAGGTCCTATATCCTTATAAGAGTTACTCACCTTTGTATATATACTAGTTAAAAACCACTTTGATGAATCATACACAAGAAGTTTGAGAAGTTTCACTTAGGAGTTTTGAGAGCTACACACAGAAACTGTTGGAAAATATTCCCCAACATATTGGGAAAACAGATCCATATGACTCACTCTAAGAAACTCCCAGTGATTAAAAACTAACCAACAAAAAGATTTATTTGCATCATTCAGGAAAAGAAATCCAGTGCCGATCCAGTGCAACTTGACAGGTTTTTGCATTACTGCAATTGCCATTTAACACATCCTCATTTAGCTTTCAGTATCATTTGTGACAGAGGGTAAAAAATTGCCTGCAGTACCCAAATGATATTATTATGGGTCTAAATAGACATTTATAAGTTAATTATATTAATACAAAATATTTATTATTGATGCCTGTCGCAGACATCTTTCATGAAAAATCCTTTCTTAGGATTTTTCCTTGTGAGAAGCTGCAGTTTTCAGCAACCAAAGTAAACAATGGTTATCTGCTGCTGTGGAATGCAACAGGTGATTGGTCTCCTGTGGGTGTTTGGATTTCTTGACCACTCATGACAGAGCTGGCTCTTGCTCTGTCTGAGACACAGATCTTTGTTATTCATTCTTTTCTATTCTTAGCTTAGCTAGCTTCTCAAGAAACTTTTTCCTTTCTATTGCTTTTTAGTATAGTCTAATGTAACATATGTCATAAAAGAATAAATCAAGCCTTCTGATCATGGAGTCAACATTCTTGTCTCTTCTTCACCCTGAAAACCCTTGTGACCACAGTCACAGATGCCTGTCAACTGATGGATGCTTTCAGGAAGTACTTGAACTACTGCCTTCCACTTCAGTATTGGATACCAGACTCATTGAAGGAAAAAAGAGAGAATTAACTCTACACTGGTACATCCATTTACCCCTATGAGACATAGGATTAAAATCTGTCTTGTTCCTCAGTTTTCCCTATTACTTTCACTTTTCAAAGTCAAGAACACTGGACAATTATTTACAAAGAACTTTAAGGAATACAATGCATATGCAGATCTCCTGTTCTGATGCAGGATGAGAGAAAATGTCTCTTGTTAGTGAAATTACTACTAATAAGAGACTTCATACCTTGAAAAAAGGTATGGGTATCCACAAGATATTAAAGAATATCTTGTGTCAAGATGAAGATTTCAAATTAAGAAGAAGCAAGTCAAGTTTTGTCAAAAAAAAAAAAAAACCTAAAAAAATCTCTCTACTACTAGAGGAGTAGATACCCTAAGACATCTGAGATTTGACACAGCCAGTAGTTGTTCCATCTTTACTTCTGAGGAAGGGAGTTAGGAGCAATCAAAAAGTCCAAGTGAAGTATTTATTTGGAATTAATGGTCAGGCAACATATCTGGCTACATAACACAAACAATTCAATGACAAAATTCTGCCACACCAATATGCAAAATTATTTATTTTCACTTTAATCATATTGCCATTTCAGGCATTACAAATTAAAGGTTTGTCTCTTAAAGCATTCAGGCAATTACAGGAAGAAACAGGCATTTTCATAGGTTTCACAGGGTCGTACTTCCATCTGCAGGCACCCAAGTACCTTCAAAAATCTTGAAGACCTACATCAAATGTAGGTCCCTCAGTGACAGACTTTGGATCTTCCAAACAACATGTCACTTCTTGCAGATGTCAATGAAAGGTTTGTTCTTTACCTGTGAGACAAACCAACCCTCAAATTACTTCCATTATAACAGATCACTTAAAGTTTTCATTTCAGTCTGCTTGTAACTCTTTTTTACTCCACATACATTTCACAATTTGAAATTTTTTTTATTATAGCAAACAGTTCTATTTTCATTAATCATAGAGACTTCATCTAAAAGTTTCCTATTGGGTGTCAAGCACTAACAGTACTAACATCTGTTTGAATGCTGAGCTATGTATTGGTAGCCCAGATCCCCATATCTGAAAAAAACCCCAGTGTCCTTTGGGACAAATGCAGTCCACAGTCCACCAACTGTAACAACTGTATCGTCCTTCTACAAATCATTCTAGGAAGTTTTCTTCATCTGACAATACAACTTTTTCTCATAAATGGGCACACACTTCAGCAGTGGCTTCAAAAATTCAGAACAAGTGAAGTCTTAGAGGCATGAACTGTCTGAATACTCAGTTCAGCAGCAAACTGTTGAAAACCATCTGCTCCAAAATACAAGCTCACTGACACTGTAGGATTATCTGTCATTAGAAATTTATTTGTAGGACACCTTCTGCCACTTTTAAGCATCAATTATTTGATTTACACAAGCATCTCATCAATTCCTCTGGTTTCTGTGCAGAAAAACAGATGACATGGTCAACCAATAGCCCGGAATTTTGGCTGAACTAGGTGATCTCACTGATTTCTGTATAGGGACCCTCCTTTTCCTAGGAATGTAAACATCTGAAAGCACACAGATTATCAAAATTTGTCACTCTTAGAAACCCAGGTGGTGGGAGAGGGGGGAAAGTTAGGAAATTAAAGAGTTGAGACTTCTGAATCTGAAAGCAGATTTTCAAACAAA